TCAACGCCTCCCCCTCCCCCCAATGTTCACTTCGACCGCAGTCTCCCCCGCGCGTGCCGACATTGAGTTTGGGGGGGAGGGGGGGTGTTCAGTAATTGTTTCCCTCTACCGGATGGATGGATGGACGCCTCAGGGAGCGGGAGGGTCAGGTTGCATGGCGGCGTGCGGCAAAGCGCGGTGGAAAAACTGAGAATGGGTGCGCAGGCGTGGCCAACACCAAGCTAGCCAGACGGCAGCGGACCGTCTGGTGGCAGGATTGCAGCATCTGCCTCCCCCCCCCTACTCCCGGCATCGGGGAGACGTAAGACTCGGGTTCGGGGGACTTGTGTTGACGGGGCCATCCTGAAAACGACGAGAACCAGACTGCAATTTGACGCGAGCTCCCACTGCAAACATCCCACGAAAACTGGACCGTCAAAATCCAGGACGCGCTCGTCAAGAAGCGTCGGTACACCCGAATTCTTGCGCACTCCAGTCTTGCGTGTAGGTCGGGCATGTCCTCCTACAGGCGGATTTGGGACGAAAAACCAAAACTACCCCAAACATATTCAAAATAATCAAACATAGTAAAACAAATCGTCCCCCGACTATTGTTGGACTACTTTTGTACATTTCTCCTGTAGAGGGGCGTGCCCGACTTAATCTTACGTTTCCCCGATCGTATAACTTATAACATCACTCGTGTGCGGTGAGGCTGCTCGCGCGCGGCGGTGAGGCACTGCAGCGCGGTGCTAAGTTCAGGCTGGGTGGGCGGAAGTGAGGGAGACTGAAGGTGTTCCGTTGGCTGTGCTGGCGGCTCCGGTGGCCGTAGCCACCTAGGCCTTCGCCAGGGTGGCCAGCGGCGAGTTGCTCCCCCTTCCCTCCCAGGGTGCGACCCCGCCCGATCCCACCACGAGAGTAGAGAGGAACAGGTTAGTCTTAGGTCGGGCATGTCCCCCTACAGGCGGATTTTGGACGAACAATTAATCATACCCACAAATATTCAAAATACTCAACGATGGTCGAAAACTCATCCCCATACTATGTTTTTACTTTTTTGAATTTCCCCCCTGTAGATTTGGAAGTCGGAAAGGGGTATGATGCCAATCGTCGAAATGGCGAAGCTATCTGCGATAAAGAACATCACCATCTTCCCCGTTATTACATGAAATTCTACCATACACCTTTTCCTACCTCCAGAGTAGAGGGACATGCCCGACTTTCAGGTTAGTCGGGGGAACGGCGGGGGAGACAGCTAAAGGCAGGTGGATCCAGGAGGTAGTGAAGGTTGGAAAAGGAGGCCCCAACTCGCAGCTGGTGGTTACGGCCATCAGCAAGGAGGTGCATGAGAGAGCTCAACCCGCCGATCTGGAACTAGGTTGTGCCACCCATGAGGACAAGTGTGGCTTGCGCTCTCGAAGTGCGTCGGATGAGTAGCATATACGTGTGCAAGAAAACCACGGCCTCCTCCTCCTCCTCCTCCTCCTCCTCCTCCTCTTTCTCAACCTCCTCCTCCTCCTCCTCCTCCTCCTCCTCCTCCTCCTCCTCCTCCTCCTCCTCCCAGTCTACCTGCCCCTCCTAACTCCCCTGCTCCTGCCCACCTCCTCCTCCTCCTCCTCCTCCTCCTCCTCCTCCTCCTCTTCCTCCTCCTCCTCGTCCTCCTCCTCCTCCTCCTCCTCTCGTCCCCTCGTCCCCCTGCACCTGCGCCTCCTCGCCTCCTCCTCCCTCCCTCGCTCAGCGTGGGGGTGGGGGAGGGGCGGCGGGGGGTGCCGGGGTGCAAGCGGCGAACCTATCCACATCCGCGCCCTCGCGGTCTGGACTCCGGGGCGCGATCCCGCTCACACGCGGTCGCACGGCTGCGTCCCGCCCAGGGCCTGCGCGAGCGAGACGCCCCGTGCCCGCGGGGTCGCGGCCCAGAGGCCCCGCCCCGCGGGGCCGCGGATGCGGAGGCGTGTTTCGCCCACGAGGGGCGGCGGGGGTGCAGGGGGCGGGGGGGGGGAGGCGGGAAGCGAAAGCGGAGGGAGGCCCATACCCTCTCACGTCGCAAACCGCGTCTCTCTCTCTCTCTCTCTCTTCCGTGCTCTGGGCCCCGAGGACCGTCGAGAACACGACGCAGGAGGAAAAGCCAGAGCCAGGGACGAGATCGAGACCTCTGGGGTGTCCACGCTGTGAAAAGCTCACGGCGTCGAGGGTCTGTGGCCCTTGGGAGGCAGAGGGGGGCCCCGAATAGCTGTGGCGCCTTGTTGTTTTCAATCACGGCGTCGTCCCGAAACTTCGGCCCCCACGGGCCGTTCTCGGGCCTCTCCGGGGCCGAGGGATGAAAGCTTGACCCTGGGACGGGGTCGAGAACTCTGGGGCCTTCGGGTGGATGAATCGATTTACGGGGATGGAGCCGATATTAGAAGGGACGAGCGATCGAAGAGGATGAGGATGGTGGCGGGCAGCGTGGGGGGGAGGAAGAGGACGAGGAGCAAGAGACGTGCCGCGATGTCGAAGCCTCCACGCCGTGGTTAGGGCACGT